GTAAAAGAATATGTGACCACCAAACCAGCCCTGCAAGAAATATTAAGAGGGTTCTATAAAAGAAGAAAGACCCCAAAAGTAATATAGACCAGAAATTTACAGAGACAATCCATAGAAAAAGGGACTGTGCAGACTATAGGATGGCAATAAATACATATTGTTCAGTAGTAACTCTCAATGTGAATGGCCTAAATGCTCCCATGAAATGACACAGGGTTGCAGATTAGATACAAAGACAGGACCCATCCATATGCTATCTACAAGAGACTCATTTTGAACTTAAAGACACCTCCAGACTGAAAGTGAGGGGATGGAGAATCATTTATCATGCCAACAGACCTCAAAAGAAAGCTGGGGTCTCAATTCTTATATCAGACAAATTAGAATTAAAACAAAGTCTGTAATAAGAGATCCAGAGAGACACCATATCATTCTTAAATGGTGTATCCAGCAAGAAAATCTAACAATGGTAAATATCTATGCCCCCAACACAGGAACAGCCAACTACATAAGCCAGCTGTTAACCAAAATAAAGAATCAGATTGACAATAATACATTAATAGTAGGAGATTTTAACACTCCACTCTCAGCATTGGACAAATCATTTAAACAGAAGGTCAACAAAGAAACAAGAGCTTTGAATGACACATTGGACCAGGTGGACTTTGTAGATATATACAGATCATTCCATCCTAAAACAACAGAATACTCATTCTTCTCAAATGCACACAGAACTTTCTCCAAAATAAACCACATACTAGGTCACAAATCAGGTCTCAGCCAATACCAAAAGACTGAGATTTTTCCCTGCATGTTAGCAGACCACAATGCCCTGAAACTGGAACACTATCACAAGAAAAAATCCGGAAGGAATTCGAACACTTGGAAGTTAAAGACCATCCTGCTAAAGAATGATTGGATCAACCAGGAAATGAAAGAAGAACTTAAACAATTCATGGAAACTAATGAGAATGAAAACCTTTCAGTCCAAAACCTATGGGATACTGCAAAGGCGGTCCTAAGAGGAAGATAAATAGCTATCCAAGCCTCTCTCAGAAAATTAGAAAAATCCCAAATGCACAAGCTAACCTTATACCTAAAGGATCTGGAGAAAGAACAGCAAATAAAACCTAAACCACAGGAGAATAATAATAAAGATTAGAGCAGAAAGCAATAAATTAGAACCCAGAAAACAGTAGAACAGATCAACAAAACTAGGAGCTGGTTCTTTAAAAGAATTAATAAGATCAATAAACCTCTGACAAGACTTATCCAAAAGAAAAGAGAAAAGACCCAAATTAATAGAATTATGAATGAAAGGGGAGAGATCACGACTAACTCCAAGGAAATAGAAACAATTATTAGAAATTATTACCAGTAACTATATGCCAACAAATTAAGCAACCTGGAAGAAACGGATGCTTTCCTGGAAATTTACAAACTACCAAAACTGAAACAGGAAGAAATAGACAATCTGAATAGACCAATAACCAGTAGTGAAATTGAAGCAGCAACCAAAAACCTCCCCCAAAAAGACCAGGGCCAGATGGCTTCCCAGGGGAATTCTAGCAAACCTTTAAAGAAGTAATCACTCCTATTCTACTGAAGCTGTTCCAAAAAATATAAACAGAAGGGAAACTTCCAAACTCTCTCTTCTGAACTCAGCATTACCCTGATCTCAAAACCTGGCAAAGATCCCATCAAAAAGGAGAATTACAGATAAATATCCCTCATGAAGATGGTTGCCAAAATACTTAACAAGATCCTAACTAATAGGTTCCAACATACATTAAAAGTGTTATTCACCACAACCAAGTGGGATTTATTCCTGGGATGCAAGGGTGGTTCAACATTCACAAATCAATCAATGTGATAGAGCACATTAACAAAAGAAAAGACAAGAACCACATAGTCTTCTCAACTGATGTACAAAATGCATTTGACAAAACACAACATCTGTTCCTGATTAAAACTCTTCAGAGTATAGGGATAGAGGGAACATTCTTCAATATCATAAAATCCATCTATGAAAAGTCCACAGCAAATATCATTATTAATGGGGAAAAGCTGAGAACTTTTCCCTTAAGGTCAGGAACATGACAGGAATGCCCACTCTCACCACTATTATTCAAAATAGTGCTAGAAGTTCTAGGCTCAGTAATCAGACAACAAAAAGAAATAAAAAACATCCAAATTGGCAAAGAAGTCAAACTCTCTCTCTTTGCAGATGACATGATACTTTATGTGGAAAGCCCAAAAACTCTTCCCCAAATTACTAGAATTTATACAGCAATTCAACAATGTGGCAGGACACAAAATCACTGCACAGATATCAGTTACTTTCCTATACACTAACAATGTAACTGTAGCAAGAAAAATTAAGGAATCAATTCCATTCACAATAGCAACAAAAACCATAAGATACCTCTGAATAAACCTAACCAAAGAAGTGAAGGATCTATACTCTCAAAACTACAGAATACTTATGAAAGAAATTGAAGACACAAAAAGATGGAAAAACATTCCATGCTCATGGATTGGAAGAATAAACATTGTTAAAATGTCTATCTTGCTGAGAGCAATGTACACTTTCAATGCCATCCCAATTAAAATACCATTGGCATTTTTCAAAGAGCAGGAACAAACAATCCTGATATTTCTATGGAACCAGAAAAGACCCTGAATTGCCAAGGGAATTGAAAAAGAAAAAAAGCTGGGGGCATCACGTTGCCTGACTTCAAGTTATATTACAAAGCTGTGATCACCAAGACAGCATGGTGTTGAAACAAAAACAGATACATAGAACGATGGAACAGAATAGAGACTACAGAAATGGACCCTCTACTCTATGGTCAACTAATCTTTGACAAATCAGGAAAAAATATCCAATGGAAAAAAGACAGTCTCTTCAATAAGTGGTGCTGGGAAAATTGGACAGCCACATGCAGAAGAATGAAACTGGCCCATTCTCTTACACCATACACAAAGATAAACTCAAAATGGATGAAAGACCTCAATGTGAGACAGGAATCCATCAAAATCCTAGAGGAGAAGATAGGCAGTAACCTCTTCCACATCGGCCACAGCAAATTCTTTCAAGACACGTCTCCAAAGGCAAGGGAAACAAAAGCAAAACTGAACTTTTGGGACTTCATCAAGATAAAAAGCTTCTGCACAGCATAGGAGACAGTCAACAAAACTAAGAGGCAACCCACAGAATGGGAGATGATATTTGCAAATGACACTACAGATAAAGGGCTGGTATCCAAGATATATAAAGAGCTTCTCAAACTCAACACTCATAAAACAAATAACCCAGTCAAAAAATGGGCAGAAGACATGAACAGACACTTCTCCAAAGAATACATACAAATGGCTAACAGACATATGAAAAAATGCTGAACATCATTAGCCATCAGGGAAATACAAATCAGAACTGTAATGAGATACCACCTCACACCAGTTAGAATGGCAAAAATTAACAAGACAAAAAACCAACAAATGTTGTCGAGGATGTGGATAAAGGGGAACCCTCTTACACCGTTGGTGGGAATGCAAGCTGGCACAATCACTTTGGAAAACAGTATGGAGGTTCCTCAAGATGTTACAAATAGAGATACTCTCTGACCCAGCAATTGCATTATTGGGTATTTACCCCAAAGATACAGATATAGTGAAAAGAAGGGGCACACAAACCCCAATGTTCATAGCAGCAATGTGCACAACAGACAAATTGTGGAAGGAATCAAGAGGCCTTTCAACAGATGAATGGATAAAGAAGATGTGGTATATATATACAATGGGATATTACTCAGCCATCAGAAAGAATGAATACCCACCATTTGCATCGACATGGATGGAACTGGAGGGTATTATGCTAAGTGAAGTAAGTCAAGCAGAGAAAGACAATTATCATATGGTTTCACTAATATGTGGAACATAAGCATGGAGGACTACAGAGAAAGGGAGGGAAATCTGAAGGGGGAGAAATCAGAGAGGGAGATGAACCATGAGAGACTATGGACCTGGGGAAATGAACTGAGGGTCTCAGAAGGGAAGTGGGTTGGGGGAAGAGGTAACAGGGTGATGGGTATTAAGGAGGGTACATGTTGTGATATGCACTGGGTGTTATATGTAATGAATGAATCGTTGAACACTACATCAAAAACAAATGATGTCTTATACAGTGGCTAACTGAACATAAAAAAAAAATACCTACAGCTGAGTTTTGTCATAATAGTCAAAACCCTGAAAATAACCTAACTACCCATCAATAAAGGAATAGATAACCAAAAAAAACCCTAATAATAAATTAAGGAAATAAATAATTTAATTAATTAAATAAAAAATATACTAAGGAGCATTACAGGAATGTTTTGCAATACTTTCCAAAAAAAAATCTTCCTTTTCCCGTATACCATTTGTTAGTTTGTGTAGTTGTAGCTGTTATAGGCTAAGTTGGAGTGAATTTAGAGTTCCATTGTTGTTTAGGGCATATCCATATATTTGCTTGAATTTGCAAATGTCAGTAGATATTGGAATCCAATAAAAATCTTTGGCTAATAAGTCCCATCTTCCTTCAGTGGAAAGAAGTCTGGTGGTATTTTTAATAGTTCTTATTCCTACTAATTGAACAACATAAGTCTGATTGGTCATAAATTTGGGTAGCAAGACAGTAATTAAGCATTTATATATGTTTCAGGAGCCTTTAATAATTTTTCACAAATTAGGAGAGCTATATGATTTCCATAAATGTACATTTTGGGTTTCTTCAGTTAGTAAAGAAGGCCATTGACCCATAGCTACCTCAGATTCCATTTGGAATATTATGTCTAGGAGTCCTTGTCAGATTAAAGTACATACTCTTCCCTCTTGTTGGACATGAACATTTTCAGTCATAATATGCTGAATTTGATTTAGTCATTTAAATTAATGCTAGATTATCAGCCAGACAGACTTCCATCATTTACCTTCTTTCTGAAATAAAAATATTTTTTTTCAGGTTCTACATATTTATTCAGAAAGTGATTCAACTATGGAATGATGCATTTTTAGCACTATGAAATCCAATGTCTTGAAATCATTTTTCCCTTTTTATAATCTAGAACAAATTTTATATAATCTTGAACAAATCCTCTTATCTGAAGTTTTTCATGCATTCAGGTATTTTGCATGATGTCTGATGTGATCAGTAATAAAGGTTGCAATGAAGTAGTAGCTATGATCATAACCCTCTTGTAATCTAAAAACAACAGGACTTTCTTTTCTGTACAGGCAGCTATAAAGTTATCAGGTAGTAACTGTCCATCTGAAAGGAACTGGTCATCTTTCCCTTGATCAATTAGTACATCCAGCTGAGAACCTGGGTAGGACTTTACAAGATGGGTAGCATCATAAGCCTTCCATTTACTTTGATCTGTTCCCAAATATCCACTAAAGGCTTTTTTGCCCCAAGGACAGAGCACTGGGTTGCAAATGGGAGCAAATGCCGACACAGATTTGTACTTTCCAGGATTCTTCAAAGCACAAATCAGAGCTCCATGGCCTCCCATGGAGTGGTCAAAAATAGACATCCTTTGGGGGTCCACTGGAAAATTGGCATTTATGAGTTGGGGAAGCTCCTTAGTTACGTAAGAGTACATTCTGTAGTTAGTTTTCCAAGGATCTTCAGTGGCATCCACATAAAACCCAGCACCAGTGCCAAAGCCCCAGCTCTCATCTTCTCCTTTAATATTGCAGCCATGAGGGCTCGTATCTGGAGCAATGATGACAAGGCCATGTTTGGAGGCAGCTTGATGATAACCAGCCTTTGATATAAAATTTTGTTCCGTGCAAGTCAAACCAGACAGCCAATATAGTGCAGGGCATTTTCCAGTTTCTGCCTTTGGTGGTAAGTAGATAGCAAATTTCATTTTGCAGTTCAGTTCAACACTGTCATGTTCAAAAACTTTCTGCAGTCCTCCAAACCACTTGTTGCTGGAAATCTTCTTCAATGCCATTCTTCCCCTGACCAATTGCTACTTGTTTTTTTGCCTGCACCAAAGGATAGATGATCCTCGGGGATTGGCGGCGGCGGGGAAACAAGCAGCAGCCGAAGCGGGAAGGCGGGGCCTCATCATCCTGAAATAAAAATATTTCTAATTTTCCTTTTTGTACAAGAAAAAAATATTTCTCTAAATATATATATATAAATAACAATAACCACATGACATGATGCTCAAGATCATTAGTCATTAGATAACATAAATGAAAAACACACTAAGATACCAGTTTATATCAACCAGCATCACTATAATGAAAACAAAACCAAGAAAAAAAATAAAACAGAAAACAACCTGTTTGGTAACATTATGAAGAAATTTTATCATTCATAAATTTCTCATGCGAATGTAAAATGTCTCAACTGCTATGGAAACAATTGAGACACTTTTCACACTAAGCAGAGTTAGTATATGACACAGCAATTCCACTCCTATCCATACAGTGAAGGGAATTGAAAATCTGTGTTCACACTTAAATTAACACTAATGTTAATAGCGTTATTCATAATAGCTAAATAGGGGGGAAAACTCACATATCCATTAACTGATAAATGAATGAACAGAAATTTGGTATATTCATACAATGGAATATTATCCAGCCATAAAAAAGAATGTAGCACGAATACATGCTACAAAATGGATGAACCTTGAAAACATTATGCTAAGTAAATAAACCAGTCATAAAGACCACATATTCAAACACAAATCATATCTCATACCTTCTCTCACCAAAAACACATCCTAGTTCCCTCCCATAGAGATGTTTTCCTTATTTATTTCTAGTAGTTTAAATTACATGTCTTAATGAGAACTCTTAACACTTAGAATACTCAATTTCTAGTGAAAACGAAGAAATAAGCAATTCTGGATTGTTACACTAGCATTCTTTGGACTGGCAAATTCAAAAGTATATTTCATAATTTCTAGAAGTGTATTTTTCCTCATAGTAACTTTTTCAATGTGGCACAAAACAAGTTTACTAATTCACCCAAATATCTTTAGTTCCTCTTTAATAAGAAGCCAACAGTGGATAAAGCTATGTTCAGTAATCAATGTTTCAGTATTTAATCTTATTTGTAAATAATCTAGATATTTAATGAATATTCATTATTTAACTTATCTCAGTATAACTTTAAGGTTTCAAGTTTTCTTTTTTTAAAGATTTTATTTATTTATTTATTTATTTATTTGAGAAAGAGAACACAAGCAGGAGGAATGGCAGAGGGAGAGGGAGAAGCAGGCTAAGCAGGGAGCCCAATGTGGGGCTCAATCCCAAGACCATGAGATCATAACCTGTGCCGAAGGCAGATGCTTAACTGACTGAGCCACCAAGGCACCCCAGGTTTCAAGCTTTCAAAAAGATTGTGGAAATTATTTTTAAGTTCACATACCAAGATAATTATTATTAAAAATTTATAGACTTTTATCTTACATCTATTTAATGTACTTGTTCTTAACAAATATGTTTAAATTATTCATGAAAGTTTCATGAGACATTAAATAGTTAACTGTCATGTCAAGTTATCTTTCCTGCTGACAAATTCTGTATCAGAAATAATGTGAGCTTATGACTTTTAGGAAACCTAAGTAGAACAAAAGTTGTATGCATTATACTGAATGCTGATAACTCTAAAAATCTGCTTATTTTAATTAAACTAGCAAATTTAAACTAGCTTTGGTTTATCAAAGATTAGCCTAGAACACATGAACTCAAAGCATTTGGGGTAGTTTCTATATTTCTGATACACTTGATTTATATAAATGTTTAATTTTCTTTAAGCCAGTTAAATAGAGCTCTTTACAAATTAGTTTTAGCTATACCATCCAGAGGTAAACATACACATACACACACACATTTGTAATAGACATACATAGACATACATTACATATACAGACATTTGCAAACATACAGACATTTGCAAACAGATACAGCTTTTAAAAAATAGACAGAAGACAGGTATAATGCAAAACTCACTAGTTTATAAAAGAACAGTTGGTTTCAAATTATGTTTATGACAGATGGAATAAGTTAAGTTTACCTGCTCAGGCAGCTTAAATTTAATAATCCTCCCTAATTTAACCAGATTTACTGTTTCTAACTGCCTGTGCACAGTTCCTGAGACTTGTAAGGACCTCTCAAAGTCAATATTGATGTAGTGTAGATGAGGTCAGTCACTACCCCAAAAGCTGTGGCCCACCATTTCACCTGGAAAAATATGGACTCTCTCACATCCCGATTATCTACCCAGAAGGACTAGGACAAACTAACTGGAAGAGCTCTGAATGCAAAGTAAGTGGAAATCAATCTGAAAGAAGCTTATTGGGGATCCTAGAGATACCAGAGAGTGGCCCAAGAGGCAACAAACTAAAGATTATATTTATTTGAGAGAGAGAGAGAGAGAGAACATGAGCAGGGGGAGGGGCAGAGGGAGAAGCAGACTCTCCACTGAGCAGGGAGCCCAATGTGGGGCTCAGTTCAGGGACTCTGGGATCATGACCTGAGCCAAAGGCAGATGCTTTACTGATTGAGCCACCTAGTCACCCCAAGAGGCAGCAAACTAAAAGGGCTCTGTGACTTGCTCCTGTGCCAAGAGCTGTCCCTGGAAACTTCAGTAGCTGTCTTTGGGTCCATCTCATCACCAATTTGTCAAATGATATAACTAAAAGAATTTGATATCTTGATATCCTTTATTCAAGTGAAAACAGCCCATGGATTAGAGGAGTACAGTTCCTCACAAGTAGTCCTCTTCCTGAGGGGTTGGAAGAGGCAATGCAGAAACAGGGCATGATTGGCTAGTAGGTTGGGAATTCCCTTACAATGTTTGTAAGTCCTATTTTCTAAGGTAAGGTAAGTTGATTAAAGCTGAGTTGGAGGATTCTAATTGGTGTATGTTAGGTTAGGTTTCCTTGACAGGAGTTTCATGTAAGGGCAGGTTGACTTAGGTTTAGATTTGAGTGGGCCACTGGGGCAAGCCTCAGTTTTGTGGTTCCTGATATATGAGTTAACTTTATCACCTCCAGACCCAGAGTGCTTCGTAGAATATTTATTATATAATTATATAATTGTAATTATAAATATAACATATTTATTATGTTATATTATAAAATGTTATATTTTATATTTTAATATATTTAAAACATATATACTTAATATATTTTTATATATTTTGAGATTTATTTTTATTCATATAAAGGTTAACAGACTTTAAGTCAAGGTATCAATATACTAGACCATATATTATATTTAAAGAAATATTTATTATATTTTGCTGAAGGAATAAAATAATACTAAGAAATAATATACCTGAGGAAAATACATACAAATAATACACAAAATTACAGAGGATAGAAAAATAAACTATCTCCAACATGTTTCACGAGGTCAGCATAACCATGTGATATTCTCACTCTTGTATAATCTCTTCCACTTGAGTATGGGTTGAATCTAGTGACTTGCCTTCAACTAAATATGGCAAAAGTGATAGAATGTCAGTTCCAAAATTACATTACAAATGTCTGTGATTTCAGACTGTGACATTCTCTAGCTTTCACTTGCTCACTGTGAAATAGTCTGCTTACCATGCTGTAAACTGCCCTGAGGCTTACATACCAAGGAACTCAGGCAGCTTTCAGTCAATAACCAGCAAGAAACTGAGGTGTTCAGTCGAACAACACTCAAAAATCTTTCCAACCATCAAGTGAGTGAGCTTGAAAACCATTTTTTTCCCTTTGAATCTTGAGATGACCACAGATCTGGCTAATATTTTGACTGGAGCCATGAGATACTCTGAAACAGAGGACTCAGCTAAGCCACATGTATATTTCTGACCATAGAAACTGTAACATAATAAATCAAAGTTTTTTTTTTTGTTTTTGTTTTAGGATACTGTGATGTTTAATTTGACATGTTGATTAGTCCATAGGGTGCCTAGATTAAACATTATTTCTGGGTGTGTCTGTAAGAGTGTTTCTGGATGAGATTAGCATTTGAATGGTGAACCCAGTAAAGAAGATTGCCCTCTCCAATGTGGGTGGGCATCACCCAACCCATTGAGATCCTGAATAGAGCAAAAGACAGAAGGGAAAATTTGCCCTTTTCTTTCCCTCTGATTGCTTGAGCAATTGATCTCTTATCCTCAGTGCTTCTGGTTCATAAGTGTTCAAACACACACTGGAGTCTACACCATTTGCATCACTGGTTCTCAGGCTTCAGATTGGGTCTGATTTACAGCACTGACTTTCTAGGGTCTCCAGCTTGCAAACTGTAGATGGTGGGAATTTTCATCTTCCATAATTGTGTGAGCCAATTTCTTATAATAAATCTCTCTATATATCCTATTACTGTTTGGAGAACCCTAATACATCTACTAAGTATTGGTATAAATTGTTATGCTGCAATAGATAACATTTGAAAAGAACATTATGAGTAGGCAAAATTATGTGCCAATCTTACCAGTGAACATGGATGGAAAACCTAAACAAAATATTAATAAACCAAATCCCATGATATAAAAAGATAATTTACTAAAATAGAGTTGGGTTTATTCTGGCATACAAGGTTAAGTTAGTTTTTGAAAATTTGTGTAGTGTCCCACAATATCAGAATAAAAGAGGAAAATCATATAATCATTTTTATAGAGTGTGTATTCTTGTAATGACAGAATAATAGCTGAAAAAAAATGGAGAATGCAAACACAAACTCATAAATATGTGTACACAATTTATAACAGAGTTTATACTATAGTACATTAGGGAGAGGATGCTGTTTTTTGAAAAATGATGCTGGTTCAACCATATGGAGAATTTTTATGAAGAAAAAAATATACTTGATTTCGCCTTACACTCCTCTCCCCCACACCCATTATATGGATTGTAGATCTGAGTGTTAAAGACAAATAATATGGATTTTGGAAAAAAACATCAGGGATATCTTATGAAACATTGAGAAAGTGCTAGCTATAATGGAAAAGATCAATAAATTATAACTATATTAAAATTAAGAACTCCTGTTATTTACCATTAAAAGAATGAATATATAAGCCATGGAATGAAAGGATATATTAATAATAACAATAAAG